TAATATTGCTTTTCTCCAAACTACTCCGAGTTTATTTGGGCAGTATGCAAAGTTTTCGCTAATCCTGCCTTCTTTAAGTCTCCTGTTCATTAGGTTTCTTTTAATCAGGATATCAACGGCTTCTTGGAGCTTACGTTTTCTTCTATTTTCATCATACGCAGCCAACCTTTCTGTCGATTTCCACTCGATTTCGTGTCCCTTTCGTACGATGTATTTCGCTTTTCAGTATCTTCCAGCGTCCATGCTTCTGCAGAGTATTTGGCGTCCCTTGATTCTTAGGATTATTTTTCTTACTGTTTCACCAATATGCTTCTGCTCACATTTGTCGCATTTGATGCTGTAAACTCCAGAGCATTCCAGTTTGTCAACCTTCTCGTGTTGCATTGGCAGGCTTGTGAAGAGCGTTGTATCTTCTTTTGCTATCACAGGACAATCTGCGCTCATTTAGGCCTTCTTGCTAATATGACCAAATTGCGAAAGCAAGGTCAAGCAGCTTCTATACAACGAAAGGAGACCCCGACCATAAAAGAGGCCACACCGTCTTGGTCTTTATATCTTTGAAGCACTAAGTTGATTAAAAGCATATGATTATAATATTTGCAAGCCTCGTAGGCCCATAATCTCTAATATAGCTTTGCTTTACAGGACTAAATCAAATCCTATCAGGACAAACTTCATATTCTCTAGGCAACCTGCATGAGAATACGGTATATTAGTGAGACTTACAGATTTCAAAATGAAAGTAAATAGTGCAAAGTGGTGGCATAGACTATTATAAAGTAATATACATTATTTGCCAGTACAATGAAACTATGCTTGAATATAACACAATTTTTAGCCACTAGTAATCCATTTTTATAATACTTGTTTGCTTCCAGATTCGTGTTTTCTTTTAGCAAACGCCCGTATCTTGGACTATCCAATCGTTTATTCCAGTGAAGGCTTTAGTCGTTTGACCGGGTTCTCACGAGTAGAAGTGATGCAGAAGCCTTCCCTCTGTCCGTTTCTCCATGGCCCGAAGACAGATAGGGTCCAGCTTAAGCATCTGGAAGTATCAATCAAGAAAAATGAAAGTGATCATGCGGAAATTGTAATATATAAAAAAAACAGTAAGTTGAAATGAGTTAGTATGTTATACTGCAATTTAAATGTTTTAAAACCAAAGTAATTATTTCAATATAAGTTATGATGTCAAAGATATAATTCGCGAAATATTTTTCTTTTACTCTGACTTAAAGGTGCTTGACACAGTGTGGAATAGAATGTGCTACATGGACTTAAACTGGTTAAAGATTGATATTTTGCCTTGCTTTATACAGTGAAATATAAGTAACGATGTAAATCTATTGTTCTAATTATATTTTAGTTAATCATGACTTTTTATTATTCTAGTTTGGCTTAATAAAGAAGCCCACTTGAGTATTATCTCTATAACTCATAGTAAAATCACTATAATGAAGCATAGAAATTAATAATTTATATAATTTTATATATTAATGCATAGATTTGACTTGCCTATTTTGTTGGCAACACCATTCATTAGAGAGAAGCTAGGGAATTCTGGCCTTAAAACCTGAAGGTATGGCCAGCGTTATGTTAATCCTATTGCACTTCATCATTATGTACCACATTAAAAAAACTAATAACGAATCCTCATTAAAGGATTGCGAAAACGGAATATAGATTTTAGCAATAAACCATTTTATGACAATGCCTCTATAAAAAGTAAGCTAAATTCTATTCTTGTATGACATTTTGGGATTATTGGCTAAAGATATCTGGAAGAGTTTTTATCATGAAAATCCATTAATTATACATACTATACTAGTAGGTGTTATCTACACATCTTATGAATTAAAGATAATCAATGATAGTTTTTTTGGTAAAAAAATTAACCAGATTATTTTGAGTTATTTTTGAGACTAAACTAAAGATTCTAAGAGAGTTTAGCCTCCGTCAGGTGTACTTCAGTGCTGCTGTCATTGGAAAAATAACGATGAATGACAATTTTCTTATACAGCTAGTTGCCTACAAGACAATTCATCCTAAAGTGTGACGTAATACTGTTTTCGATAATGTTGTTTAGAGTATTGCTCAAGGTCGCACCAATAATTCCTATGTTCAAATGCATAGTAAAAGAATTTAAATATTATTTTGGCAAAGTTATATTACATAATTTTGTGGAAATCAATCCCTAAAATCAATACAAGGATTCTTGCGTATTTACCTTTCATTAAATTATACCATCTTCTAGAATGGTGCAATAGACAGTATTTATAAATTCTTTTTAACAGAGTTCTATTATATTTTCAATAAAAAAAGCTGTTCCGGACCATTGAGACAGCGTTTAACCTTTGACTTGGTATATCATTAGACATTTGACCTGCAACGTAGTCGATATTTTTAGTAATTTTGTTTACAGGTCATTTATGTCTTTTTAATACACTGCTAAGCTAGAGTTTGCTTATTTTTAAATGAAAGTTTACTTAACTCGAACTACGAAACAAAACTAATTTTTTTCATTCTAGTGAAGCCTACCTGGGTGTTTTTTCGAGTTACACCTATCCACAATGAAAAAGATGCTGTGGTTCTCATTCTTGTTACTCTGAGGGATTTAACTGGATATAAACAACCTATTTTGGATGATTTTATTGATTCGGCACCAGGACTGTCAACTGGTGTCTTAGACGTCGATCAAAGACCAAGTATGTATTGTTTTTCTCTAGTAATATTATTAGAAAAATAGAAAACTAGCAAAGTCAATTGATATGTTTTTATAATTTCTGCGCAAATATTTAATACTGCCTTAAGTAATTTTGAAACAGAGGTCCTTGAGATTGCTTCTCATTAGGCAGAAATATATTTTAGCCATAATTTTACAGATTTAGTTTATTCACACTTTATGCATTGTTCGGAGCTAATAGCCATTAGTTGTCTACCTAAATTGCTTCTCCTTTTTTACAGGTTTATCGGGTAGATATTTTGAAGTAATGCACAAGTAAGTGTAAGTGGCTTTTAAAAAAGTCCTAGTCCCCATAGAACGCATAAAAGTATGTGTAGCTTAATTTTCCCACAATAAAATAATTAGGCCTTAATCACATGCTACGGGAGTGACTAGAATTTTTGCATGAGATGTATTCACCCTATTTCGTTTAAGGTAATGTAGGACTGGTAGTAGAATTTTCCCACAATGATATGAGTAGAGTTGACGTTTCCATTGAATTTTACATAGCCCGTCTTTCCCAAAAGTCCAGGGTTCTTCTCATCAAGGGTGGACTGCCGTTTCGACCTGGCATAATTCTTATCTACATTCCCAGCGGGAGTCGAACCGTGACACTGCAGCATGTGAGCTTGACACGTTAGCCATTCGGCCATATTGTACCAAGTTCCCTTGTGAATTTCAAGTAAGGTCAGGTCTTTTCCCATATCGCATTCTTTGGTGGGATTCTCGATGAAGCAAGCCTACTTTTGCTATAGCATTAGACTACATTATTTATTTTTCATATAAGTAGTGTTTCTCATATAATTAATTTAATGGCAGTCTTGAAACTCTACTTATACGAAAAATAAATAATGTAGTTTATTGTTATGGCAAAAATACGTTTGCTTCATTGAAAATCCCACCAAAGAATTCGATATGGGAAAAGGCCTTGCCTTTTTTGAAATTCGCATATGTCCCGTCAACCAAGGGCAATCGTGATAATATGGCCGAGTTTTTAACGTGTCAAGCTCACATACGCCACGGTCGCGATTAATCTCCTGCTGAGGGTGTTAATAAGACTTTGCATGGTCCCCCCTGGATGAAAACAACTTTTGGGAAAGCTAGGCTGTCTTGAATGGAATTGAAACGTCAGCTCTACACATATAATTATGGGGAAATTCTTCTAAAAGTCCTTTATCAGCTGAAACGAAATCGAATGAATACGTATCATATAACTGATTTACTGGTAGTCGGGAAACTCTACATATACGAAAAATAGAATTCTTATGCAACATTTACTGATAGTCTTGAAACTTGGCCCAAACGACCTGCAATAATGCGTTAAGTTGAAATGAAGAAATCCATTTTTCTCTCACAATCATATCATAAATGTGATGTTCAAAGTTGGCGGCTGATCTCGACTCATACTATCTATTTGATGTGTAATATATTGATAACATTTTAAGAATAACTTTTGTACCATCAAGGTCAGATTCCTATTGGAGAGCTGGGAGACCCAGGCAAGGTCGTAAATGCAGTGTATGCTAAAAAACAGCACCTTTTGGGGAGCAAACTAATGTAAACTCAATGGAAATGTGAGGCATACTAATATCGTTGTTTTAAACTTTAATTATCAATCGTTTATCGCCTTCTGCAATCTAGAGTGTCTATGAATATTGCGTAAGATTCATGGATAGTCTTTAGAACCACATGTTATTAATATAAATGACTCCACCTAGATAATTTAACCTTAACTGAGTGTATAGGAGTTAGTATATATATATATATATTTATATATATTTTTATTTATTATTACTTCATAAATTAGGATAATAGTTAACATGTTTTTAAAAATCCAACTGCTATCCTACAAGAATAGTTTAATCATTTTAACTTAGTTTTTTTACATACCAGAGGAATGTTGCATGATTAGGCTACTTGTTATTACATAGTAAAATTTCTCTCATTATCATAAAAGACTTAATCGCGTTTTACTATCTTCAATTATTGTTTATTTTATCCTAGAAAAAAAGTTAGACTATTAGTTTTGAGTCAAATACTCTAAATTCATATTCAGACGCATCCTACTAAATGCATATATTTTTTTATAATTTACGTCTTTGGCAGTTCGGGCCAAATTAGCTCATCGGCATAGCTTGCGTCTCAACCTTTAATATAATAGATTAATTCGTATAAATAATTGCTTACTTAGCACATCGTTCTATGACAACGACTTCTCTTCTTTTTATTAAACCTCATTTAAGCTCTTGGTCGGTTTGCTCGTTTAGCAGTGGCTCTGATGCGACAGCGAGCTGCCCAACGGCAAGTAAGCCTCAGAAAGGCAGATGGCGACGAGGAGGGTACACTTGGCTCAACATTTGCTGTTTCGGAAACGCCTTCCAAATTCGAAATAGAGGATAACGTTGCATATTCCTTTACACAACCGAAATGGCCAACAAAGCAGTCACGGGAGAATGGCTTTGGCATTCAAGACGAAGAGCTAAAGAATTTTGAGAACACGGTAGGAAGGCCAGATCTCAATGAAGATTTTAAATGTATCTAAATTCTCAAACGGTTAAACACTTTTTCGCATAATAGAGTTATAAAGTCATTAAACTAGACTATTTAAACAAGTTTTACATTTGCATTTATCTACTTAAAAAAATACCTAGAGTCTGAAAAAATAGAGCCAATCCACAAGTGTAGGAAAAATTGCTTTGTAATTAATAATTAATATGTGCAGTGAGGTTTGAAATTGTATAGTTATACCATCACGATAGTGCCTTTATTCGTATAAAACTTTTATCCACATAAACAATATCTCACTTAAAAGAAAAAGCAATAATTACACCTAATTCCCTTTGAATAATTGATATATAAGAGAGCGAAATTGCAATTTAACATCGTAAATTATGAAGCTATGAAGACCATGACATTGTGGCCTCTGGTATGGTCGCAGTCTCCTTTTGATTTATAGAAGTGGGTTGACCTAGTTGTCGCAAATTGATCTTGTTGTCGGGTAGACTTAGTAGATCGCACCTAGTCAGAAGTCGTCTAAGTAGTTGTCATGATTACCAGCATCAGACAGTGGACTTGGTGCATTCTCAATAGTTTCTTCGACATCGTAGTCGGCATCATCAGTCAGTACTTCTATTCTCCGCACCAAGCTACGAACTCGTCAAAGAGACTAGTTATGTCACTCCCTCGACAAATGTTCTGCCGAAAATGGTTACACTCTCAGTCCTCTTTCTGTCCTGGCCTATCTATCTATTCTTTAACCTCTAATCCCACTGCCACTCAATCACAACATCTCACTTGTTTAAATTTCACTCGTAGAAATGTGTGCCTTTTGAGGCAAACCTAGTGTGGCCGCATCACACTCACTATTCACCCCGACCTTCTTCTCTTACGATTAGCTGATCCGACTCGGGCAGTCGAACCGGATCCCTCTCATGGTCCCGTAGATCCGTTCCTTATCTTTCTGGTTGACCGATTTCACTCGGTCACTCCTCCGCCTATCTCCCTGACTGCCAGGCCCTCAAAGCTGTACTGATTTATTCGAAATGGACCTCAATTTCTGAAGACGTCTTAGTTTATTGCCGAAAACCCCTGACCCCCACTTTCTTTATCGCGATCCCTTTTTTTCGATTTGCGGTAGACCCTTGATCCTGGCATCTCCTTTTTGCTGGTCTTGATATATTCTTGTTTTCCCCGAGTATGCTCAGGCAGTGGGCAAACTCTTAGAGGTTTTCTTCCTTGTATATCTTCAGCAGTCCATAGGATGTTGCTAGTCTTGTATCATATTAATTTGATTAGTTCATCATCCATCTTTTGATTTCTCCGTTGTTATGCATTTTCTTTGGCATATCC